CGAGAGGGAGGCGAGGCGAGAGGGTGAAGAGACGAGGGGGAGAGGGGGAGGGGCGAGAATGCGGAGAGACGAGAGGGCGGAGAGACGAGAGGGCGGAGAGGCGAGAGGGCGGAGAGGCCAGGCCAGAGGGTGGAGAGACGAGAGGGCGGAGAGGCCAGGCCAGAGGGTGGAGAGACGAGAGGGCGGAGAGGCGAGAGGCGAGAGGGAGGGGAGGCAAGAGGGAGGAGTGGCGAGAGGATACAGGTGGTGTAAGGGCGTCCATCGGTGACGCGACGCCTCCAGAGCAGCGACACCCCTGCCCGTGCCGCTCCCAGCCCCACCGGTCTTCACCTCGTCCCATCCTCCCCGGCGCCCTCAGTAGGGCGCCCGGTCCGGCCCCAGGGTCGCGACGCTCAAGCAGACCCCGGGCACCGAGGGTTTCAATGTGCGGACGGTCCCAGCGACAGTAGAGATGGGGCATAACTTGCAACTCTTGGGCGTGCGGAGCGTGGAAAGTGGAGCCGAAGGGATTCCGAAAACGGACCTGCGAGAAGCTGGGAGGAAGTGATTAGGGATGAAAGTGAGAGCGCAGTAGCAAGGCGAAGAAAGCAAAGCAAAAGCAAGCTGGATGGGCATGCCTAACGGACCATCCGTGGCCTACGCGTTTGGAGTCTTGCAGAAGCGGGAACAGTGCACTGCCATGCATTAAGTACTCTGGTCAGCCCCTGCCCACCTCCCCCAGGGAGAATCGCGAGGAGACATGCCTCCACGAGCCCACCAGCTAATCTGGCAAAGCCCGCTCTCCCCTTAAAATGAGCTCGACATCTTACAAAAAAAAGTAATAATAATAGTGATACAAATATCTCACCTCAGGTGAAGCTACTTGGCGAGAAGCAAGAGAATCCAAGTGGTAGTAGAGATGTCGTCCATCGGTATTGTTGTAAGGAACATTCAAAAATCCACGAAGACGTTGCAACTAAAATTAATTGAATGACATCACTCATAAATATCAATATTAACCACTTACTTTTCTGCAGATTGTTTCTTTAAGTAATAATTTTGAACTCACCGGTCTACGTGCGCAATGTTGGTACAGGTAAATTCCACCAACAATCCCAACACTCATTACAAGTAGACCCACTAGAAAAAGGCAAACAGTAGTTGCAGAAGTCACCCGAGTGTGACTACGGATCCCAAGGGTGAAAGGAACACCAAGGTTCTCTACATCTTGATCCCTCCTTTTACCAGGCACCTGAATCAAAAATGATGATACAGTCGAACTAGTAGGAGTTTGACAGCAATAGATCAATACTACGATGCAGCCTTAACTTCAGGTGCACTTCATTGAATGCAGTTTCACTTTCAATAGAACTAATTAAGTGACTTGAAAAGTTATCAATATTTTCATGTGAATTGAATTGGCACAATGCTGTAAAGGTTTACATCTTCAGAGTATAATTCTAATTTCTCTGGATACTGCTTATTAGGGGGTGAGGGATATGGGAATGCAGAACAAAAGACAAAATAAATGGAATAAAATAAAACTAATGTCCTAAATTCAGAAATGCTTTGAAATTATACAGCTCATTGAAATCATTGTTATTAAACTTCTGTATGGTATGGTAACACGCAACAGTTGCGAACTAATGACAATATAATGATAACAAAATAGCAGAAACGTCACAACAAGGGGGTGGATCTGTGGTCGTCTGCAGGGCTTTCGTAGGCTTCTCGCTCACCACCACTACTTCGGCTCCATCCACTGGCTGCTCTGCCTGCACCAAAGGGATAGCCAATGGTGACTTCTTTTTCATTTCGCTAATGGGTTTAGTTAAAACCGTCATGATGACAACGGAGACAGAAGCAGGAAAATTAGCAGCAAAACAATTCTATGCTTCTGCTGGATTAGCGACCACAAACCAAACAGTGTGTTTTTCAACCGGCAGGTGGCGTAAGTGAGCTTTTGGCTGAAGGGGCCCGTTTCTTGCACGAGCCAGTGTTTGCTGAGCTGGATTCAGAAGAGAAAATTGGCTAATTTAACATCGCAATAGAGGAAATATTTACCAAATTTGATGTAATGCTTTCTCTCTAACAACATTTGTGGTTCCGAAGGACTTTAAAGTCAAAATCCAACGAAACATAGCCTTTGATTTCGCAATTACATCGTTCCCTTAACGGTGTGCTCCATTTCCCACCGATCAGCCGTGTGGAGCGTGGAAACACGCAAGGTGATATAATTGTTCTTATTGCGCGTTAACTGTGACATATTTTGTATGGTTGGAGTGATAAGTTGTTTATTCAAAGGTGTGACTTCTCAACAACGCGAGACAATTTCGCGTCAGTTCATCTAACGACGGGACGAAACCGGCATTTCGTGGATCTTGGAAGAACGCACAGTTGCGGGATACAACCAAAAAAATGGCGTCTGACCCAACGAAAAACAGGATCCTGGTTTTCAAGAACAGAGGAAAAGACCAAGATGTACGTATTCTAAGACAATTCTCTTCTCTTTAGGCATTGGTTTTTGAGTCCGTCTTGTAGTATTCCTTGGTTAGATGATAGGCCCTAACCCACCTAACATATTGGCCTACTGGCCCGTAAGGTTCGGCATGGCCAATATTCATTATGCCCCCTTTTCTGTTCGTTTTTAATCCGTAGACTTTAGCTTATATCTTTATTTTGGAATGTAGACTCGTATATTCTCTAGCAGTAGTGTTTACCGTTATGTTGAGCTCAATCGACGGCAGTTGGAAGTGACCTTCCTTTGAGGCCCTGAGTCAGACAAGTCAGTAATTGTATGAAGCAGTGCATGACATGTCCAAAAATGGGTAGTTTTCTTACTAAACAGACGTTGAACCAAGGTGGTCAACTTTTTCTAGCAATTATTTCCTACGCGCATGGATTGTGGGTTGAATCTTTTGGCTCATGACAGTAGAAGAGTGAGGTTAGTTGGCTGGGTGGGACTAGGTGGGACAATGTATCATGAAGGATGAGTCACTGGCAAAATATTAATGTAGGTGATGGGCAGGACAAGAAACTTCTGTTAGTCACTTTAACTTCTATGCAATTGGCATCTATAAACTATTTTCATTGTTCTTTTGTCCCTGAAATTTACTAAGCTTCCTGCCCTACATATGAGTGTGAGATACTAATATCAGTATTTAATATGTTCTGTTGCAGGAAATGCGAAGAAGGAGAAATGAAGTTACCGTTGAACTTCGGAAAAACAAAAGGGAAGAGTCTTTGCAGAAAAGGCGTAATGTTCCCATCGGGGACTCCACAGGTCAGTTGCTTAAGTATATAATAATAAATGGTGATTCTGTGATTGTATCGCTCTTTGATTTCAGAAGGTTGCTTTGACTGCTTTTGATGTTTAATTGTTCATATATTCCTTTTATTCTGGCAGATGAAGAAGAAATGGTGCACTTGGGCTCAACTGACCTCAAAAATCTAGTTGAAAGCGCAAGAAGTCCTGACCCTACTATTAAGTTGGCTGCTGTTCAGAAAGCCAGAAAAATGTTATCATCCGACAGGAATCCCCCAATTGATTGTTTGATTGAAAGTGGGATTTTACCTATTCTTGTTCAGAGCCTCCAGTGCCATGACAAGTATGTTTAATTTTATCGTCCAAGATTCTTATCTCGTGTTATTGTATCTTATCTTCTTATTTGTTTTTATTTTTTTTTAATTTTATTTTTATTTTAATCCTTAGTACACAGCTGCAGTTTGAAGCTGCTTGGGCTCTCACTAATATTGCTAGTGGAACTTCAGCTCAAACCAAAGCTGTTGTTGAGGCGGGTGCTGTACCCTACTTCCTCCAACTTTTGGATTCAAAGCAGCAAAATGTGTGTGAACAAGCTGTTTGGGCACTAGGTATAGTAGAAAATTTATCTACTGGTCATTTTTGCTGCTTGCATCATCCATCAAAGGATTTACTATTATTTTGATTTTGTCCTCTCAGGAAATGTTATTGGCGATGGTCCTGGTTTGCGAGATTATGTTATCCAGCTGGGCGTGGTTCAACCCCTATTGTCATTTATTACACCAGACGTGCAAATTACATTTTTAAGAAATGTTACCTGGGTCATTGTCAATCTTTGTCGAAGCAAGGACCCTCCTCCACCTGTGGACACCATCAAGCAGCTTTTGCCTGCTCTTGGCTTCCTCATCCACCACACAGATACTAATGTGAGTATTCATCTACAGCCACCATCTGAAATAGTAATCAACAAATAGGTTGAATTTTTAATAATACTGTCACCTTGTTGTTTCAGATTTTGATTGACACTGTTTGGGCATTGAGCTACTTGACAGATGGTGGTAATGAGCAAATTCAGCTGGTGATTGATAGTGGTGTGGTTCCACACCTGATTCCTTTACTGTCTCACAAGGAGCCCAAGGTAATTTTTTTAACTGTCACAACTCTATGTACAGCTATCATTCAATTTTTAAATTTTTTTTACCCTTCACTAACTGCTTTGATATTTCCAGCTCCAGACAGCAGCTCTCAGAGCTGTAGGAAATATTGTTACAGGAACTGATGAACAGACACAGGTTGTTCTTAATTGTGATGCGCTGTCACATTTCCCTGCTCTTCTAACACACCAGAAAGAGAAAATTTGCAAGGTATGTCCACATTTTTACAACTCTGAAAAGTCATTCCTAAGTACATCAGTGGTTTGGTTGTAACTTTTTTTTTTTATGCTGCTATTTACATTTCAGGAAGCTGTTTGGTTCTTGTCCAACATTACTGCTGGAAATAAAATGCAAGTTCAAGCTGTTATTGATGCTGGCCTTCTGCCAAAGATCATTCAGAATTTGAGTAAGGTAAGACAACCAGACCATGGTCTGTAAATCACCAAATTCATGAATGATCCTCAGTATCATTCAAAAAGACAACTATTTGCTTTTAGTTGTTTGCTCCTTTAACCTTCTCTTATTTCTTTTAGGGTGAATTTCAAACCCAGAAGGAGGCTGCGTGGGCTGTAAGCAACTTAACTATCAGTGGATCCCGTGAACAAATTGCACAGTTGATTCAGGAGGGTGTCATTCCTCCATTCTGCAATCTCTTGACATGCCAGGATACTCAAGTTATTCAGGTGACACTCGATGGTATAAATAATATGCTCAAGATGGCTGGTGCCGAGGTAGAGACACTAACTAACATGATTGAAGAATGTGGAGGTAAGAAATGTCCAATACCTTGATAATGTGTTTGGAGTATTTTAAGATTTCCTAATTGCCTTCTTGTAATTCAGGATTGGACAAAATTGAAGCCCTACAAAATCATGAAAACTTAGAAATCTATAAGGTGGCTTATGAAATTATTGAGCAGTACTTCTCAGATGAGGTAAGTTTATTTTCTTCTTATGAAAATCTGTTGCCCTATGGGTGATTAGGGCTATCATTTACCCGTACTGTATCTGTTTTAGCCGGAGGATGAAGACATAATGCCACAAGCAACAGAAGCAGGTTTTGCATTTGACCCCAGCCAATCCATACCTAGTGAAGGGTTCAAATTTTAAGTCACGAACTTGAATGACATTTTCAGAGGACTTGAATAAATTGACAAGTATTTGATTTAAGAAGAAAATGAACAAAACAACTCAAATCCGGAGCCTTGATTCTGGAGCTTGAATATGCATGTGGCTTTCAAATCGACTAGACAAAAAAAATGTTAACTTTGTCTCGCTGATAAGTAACTTAAATTGGGGAATAAATTTTCCTGTTAGTATTTGTGACGAACAGAGTTGGGTCTCTTCTAAAGAACAGTAATATTGAAGTGGTTTGCAAGACTTAGTAACTTTCAAAATGAAACAGTTTGAAACTTAATTCTGAACGACGATTCCTTTTCTCTCTTAACTCTTATGTTTGCTTTTAACTGTGCAATTGTTGCTTTTCCATTTTATGAAAAAGAAAGCGTGTTTCTTCTATTTAAAATATATGTTATTGTTAAATGGCCGGTGCCAATGAAGTTACACAGGGTTGATTTATGTATCTAATTTTAAATATTTCTGAACTGCTCACTTGTACTTGTACTGAAAATTAATGTTTAAGGATTGTGGCATTTTCCTCTCCTCCACTTTTTTTTTTTTTTTTAATTATAATGAAAAGGAATGAACTATTTATTCTTCAGTGGTCATTGAATGGCCCAATGTGTGAGGAGCAGTTCAATGGACAAATACCCTCTTCCGTGATTATCTCCCATATTTCGATGTTGGGCAGAAGATTCTGGTCATTTATATTGGGACATCCTCTGTGTTTCTACTCTGTCCTTCATTGGTTCAATTAACTATTGGTTTGAAATGCTAATGCTGGGCTCTACATTTTAGTTCCTTTTCAAGAAAATCTCTTAATTCCTGCATATCAATCTTAATGTAATATGCATTTCAAATTTATGAATTGTTTTTAGTCTCTCTTTAGCAACGTTTGTGTTAAAGAAATTTGAAACCAATTCATAGCTGAGCCTGTTCTATTACACCAAACCTTATTTCTTAGCCAGCATTAATCTTACGATATACTGGAATCTCTCTTACTCTTCATTCTAAAGTTCCCTTTCGATCGACTCATCAAAAGAGATTTTCTTGGTAAGGTCATTGGCACAAATACATAAAAATTCTACTGTAAGTGTTCAGTATCTTATTGGCATTTGCAAGTGTTAAAATTAGTAGACAGAGTGAAGTTGGTATGTATGAGTGTCCTTATGTATGAAAGTGAAAAGCCTTAATTGCAAGATCGGCAGAGATGGTTAAAACTTTTAGGTCCTGCTTTGACTGTGATTGTCAAGCTATATTGTAACAGACCTTCTCCCTTTTTAAAAGTTTTTTTTTTTTTTTGTTAATG